GGAAGATTGTCTTCGGACAAACGCTGGCTCTATGGCTTGGAAACGGGGATGAGCACCGCCCCCTAGAGTCGAACACGACTGGATAAAAATTGTCAAGGGGAACCTTTACCTTTTTACCTTTATGGAACAACTGATTGGTTCAAAATTGGGAAAGGAGTATGACAAGGCTGTATGTTGTCCCCCTGCTTATTTAACTTATATGCAGAATACATCGTGCAAAAGGGAGGACCGGATGAATCCCAAACTGGAATTAAGATTGCTGGGAGAAAGATCAACAACCTCAGATATGCAGATGATACCACTCTGATGGCAGAAAGTGAGGAGGAATTAAAGAACCTCTTAATGAGAGTGGAAGAGGAGAGCTCAAAAATTGGTCTGACGGTCAGCATGGCCACTGGTCCCATGCAAATAGTGGGGGAAGATATGGAGGTAGTGACAGATTTTACTTTCTTGGGCTTCATGATCACTGGATACGGTGGCAGCAGCTGTGAAATTAAAAGATGCCTGCTTCTTGGAAGAAAAGTGATGACAAACCTAGACAGCATCTTAAAAATCACAGACTTCACCTTGCCGACAAAAGTCTGCATAGTCAAAGCTATGGTTTTTCCACTAGCAATGTATGGAAGTGAGAGCTGGACCATAAAGAAGGCTGATCACCAAAGAATTGATGCTTTTGAACTGTGCTGCTGGAGGAGCCTCTTGAAAGTCCCCTGGACTGCAAGGAGAACAAAGCTATCCATTTTGAAGGAAATCAACCCTGAGTGCTCACTGGAAGGACCGATCCTGAAGCTGTTGGCCACCTCATGAGAAGAGAAGATTCCCTGGAAAAGACCCTAATGTTGGAAAAGTGTGAAGGCAAGAGGAGAAGGGGAGCGACAGTGGATGAGATGATTGGACAGTGTCACCGGAGCTACCAACATGAATTTGACCCAACTCCGGGAGGCAGTGGAAGACAGAAGGGCCTGGTGTGCTCTGGTCCATGGGGCCACAAAGAGTCGGACACGACTAAATGACTAAACAATATACAGTGGTGCCCCACATAGTGACGATAATCCATTCCAGGAAAATCGTTGCTATTCGGAATTGTCGCTATACGGAATGAAAAACCCCATAGGAACGCATTAAACCCCGTTTAATGCATTCCTATGGGGGAAAAAACTCACTGCTATGCAGAAATCCTCCATCCGGCCGCCATTTTCGCTGCCCGGTATGTGAGGAAATCGCACGAAAACACTGCGGGTGGCTATTTTGTTTACCCGGTGGCCATTTTGGAACCGCTGATCAGCTGTTTTCTAAACATCGCAATGCAATAATCGGTAAACGAAACGCTTACCGAACATCGCAATGCGCTATCTAGCCATTAAAACCATCACAATGCGATCGCTTTTGCAATCGCAAAATCCACATCGCTATGCGGATTCGTCATTAAACGGGGCGCTCGCTATGTGGGGCACCACTGTATTTTATGTTCTTCTTCTCCCTCCCTTTTTTGTCCATTCCCCTTATCTCCTGTACCCCTAATCCTATCCCTAGTTTTTTTAAAAAAAAAAAAATAAAAACAAAAAAGGGAGTCTCTAGACAACCCTGGCAAAGACCTAGAGACTCCTGGATTGGTATGTCAGGCAGCCAAACACACTGCTCAGAGGTCTGTGGGGGAATTTCTTGCTAAGAGGCTTTATAAGCAGTTTCTGTGCAGCCATTTCCCACTTCTGCTGAGAGCTTTCGATCTGTCTTGTTGAGCTCTTAAAAAAAATAAAAACAAAAAAGGGAGTCTCTAGACAACCCTGGCAAAGACCTAGAGACTCCTGGATTGGTATGTCAGGCAGCCAAACACACTGCTCAGAGGTCTGTGGGGGAATTTCTTGCTAAGAGGCTTTATAAGCAGTTTCTGTGCAGCCATTTCCCACTTCTGCTGAGAGCTTTCGATCTGTCTTGTTGAGCTCTTTGAGTAGCCAGGCAGCAGTTATTCACACTTGCAGTGGGCAAAGCATTACACTTTTATTTCATTATTATTTAAAATATTGTGACTTTGGGGAGGGCTTTCTTTAGGCGGGTACATTTTCTTTTCTTTTAGTTTTTGAGGTTAGCGTTGAGGTAGGATGGGTGGTTTATCTCTCTCTTTATTTTACCCTTAAAAAACTTATTTTTTTTCTTCCCTAAATTACCTATTTGGTTGGCTCCAGTTCTGAGTTACCAAGAGTGACTGTGATTGAGGAGGTAGCAGTTAGAGCACCTGAAAATGAAGGGAAGTCAGGTCTCAAAGGGGAAGAAGCCCCTCAATAGGTCAGCCACCCTCTTCCTCCTCTTGTAGACTTGAAAGCTGAGCTTCCTCAGGTGCTGCTCTTCCTTCAGGAATCAGAGCAGTTACTGATTCAAGAGGATCCAGAATCCTCTCACTCCTCTGAACCAGTAGTGCCAGAGCAGATTTCCCCATCACCACCACCCCTGTCCCCAGACTCCTCACCTAAATCCTCCCAAACCAGTACCACCCAGTCTTCCGAGGCTAGCAGCATGCAGAGTCAGGCAGAGCCTCCCTATTGGACCATTTCAACATTGTCAGTTATGACCCACACCTGGTGTGTTAAAAGCTATCCCTTGAAAATTCTTCCTCAACTGTCCTCTGCCAACATCTGGAGAGGCACTGCCTAAGCCTCCTATCTGGGGAAGGTTGTTTGTTGCCGTGGTGTTGGTGTTGGTGAAGAGATTAGCACCAGGGGGAGAAGTAGGGATGGAGAAGGAGGCACCGCCTTTGAAGAAGACTGCCACAGGGGTTGGTGTGGGTGGGAGCTTGAGGAAGGTCACGCTCCAGGATGTAGTTCCCATTGGGGCTGCAGCCACCTTCGGCGGATGGTCCAGGGGCAAGACACAGGAGGTGGGCACTCCAAGAGGATTGCCCTGCTCAGGCTTCCACTGTTCATCATGGAAATCCCAGCTTTCCACTGTTTGCTCCATTTTTTGCCTGTCCTCCCTCTATGACTCTGTATTGGAGGTGGTCTGTGACCAGCTGGGATGGCCATAAGGTCCACTTTACAGCCAACCTGTGGAGCAGAGGTCACCATGGGTACCTCTCACTTATAACTCACTGGTGGTAACTGGAGGATCTGAAGGGAGGCAGGGCATTGGCAACAGGGCACTTGTCCTGCCACCAGGTTACAGGGCCATTCTATTGCAGGTGGAACATGTGGAGGCTCAAGTGACGGGGGGAACACCACCAATGAGTTCCTGGCTGACAATAAATAAATAAATAAATAAATAAATAAATAAATAAATAAATAAATAGATAGATAGATAGATAGATAGATAGATA